CAGTGAAAACTTGCAGGAGGCAACCAATCCATGATTCTCTCTCATCATGGATGTTTCTCTCTTTCTCTCTCTCTCTCTCTCTTCCTTCCTCTCTGAAATCAATAAAAAAATATTTTTTAAAAAAGAGTGTTTGACAACCATCTTCCAGGCATCTCTGCGTTTCTCACTAAGTATCACTGGGCCTTGTGGCTGCAGGGAGATGGGAGATGGCTGCCAAGGCGCCTGGGACTTCCATTTATCAAAGATTGCCCGGGCCAGGTAAGAGCCGCTAAGGGAACTGGGAAGGCTGATGGTGTCATGTGCCTCTGCTACCAACCGTGCACGGAACAGTGAACTCTGCTTAATGGGCAGAGGCGGGCTGTGGAGCTTACCTGGAAAGCAGCCCAGGTGCACCTGCCCACTTTTCACTGACCCTGGGCCGTGTGGCCTGGTGCCTGGTGGGAGGACTGGAGGACTGCGCGAGGCCCACAAACCCCCATTCGTGAGCCACAGGCAACATCAGTGGAATCAACACGCTGATCGGACCCTGTGCTGCCAGGCAGCAGGTGCCACCAAAAGATGGACTTAAAGGATAAGCTGCAAAAGACAAGGGCAGTTCTGTGCAAGAAAGGATGACTACACAGAATTAAAAAAAAAAAGAACCACTAAAACCACAGCTTCAATAATGCTACCATTGTTATCGCTGCGGGACAGACTTTCGTCGGCCACTTCTCTCTTCAGCAAGCACGGAAGGGCAGCCCGAGGTCAGGTGTCACAGCCCACACCCAGCCCCACCTGAGCGAGAACCCAGCCACGCCAGGGCGTCTCCTAGCACGCCCCTCCCGTCTCTGGGGCAGCATCCGGGCTCAGGACTGGGTGAGGTTTTAATAAAGACCCAGGGAGCAGGAACAGAGCAGCTGAGAAGCCCAAGTCAAGCGGAGGGCAGCCGGCCCATGTGGTCCTGGCCCAGGGCTGGCTTCCAGCAAAAGGCCCCCCTGCCATTCGCCAGGAATGACTGTGAACACGGCGGCTTCATGGGTGTGCAACTTGTGCAGCTGCACCGGACCCCAAGCTCAGAAGGGCCCCTCATTTGGTTCAATGCCCTGCTGTCACCCTGAAAATCTTAATCATTTCCATTTCGCACTGGTCTCTCCAATTAGGCAGCTGAGGTCTGCATAGAGTGGGAGGTGCCCAGCCCCAGGGCCCGGGCGCTCAGGTATTTAAGGGGTGAACACTTGCTTGTTGCAGATACGTCATTATTCAGAGAAACTGCTGACTCATAACAAAGGTTTCTGTGTACTCACTTTGCTTCACCATAATGTTGACAGCTTATTCTCTTCCCAAACTGTTGCCTAACTTGAGGTAAATGGGTGAAAACTAAGACCTGAAACATTCCTTAATGTCCATTTGAAACAAAAATTTCAATGTTTGGAAGTAAATCCAATCAGCAAACTGGTAATTATACTTTTTCATGCAATACATCAAACAAGGTATTTTCTTTA